GGAGACTATGCAAGTTTGTTCAATATAATTAAAAAATAGAATTAGGAAATGAACACAAACTTGTTTGTTCTTTCCACTTATTTAATCCCCAGAAATTAAATTAACTATTTAAGCTAGTCTTTTTTGTACTATTGAATAAACTGCTCTCAAAGATCATAGAATTTCTTTCTTCATGTTTTGATATCACAAGTTTAAAGGCAAGGTTTTCCATCCCAGCTTCCAACAAAGCTTTTAGGAAAATAATTGTCATCTAGTACAATGAGTTAAAAAAAAATCTATCCACCACAAGAAATACTATTAGAAACCCTTAAGCACCAAATTAGATTATTTTTACTTTGTGCTGAAGAAAACTTCACCTGTGATCTTATGAATTTCACCCTAAATGCCATACATGAGAAACTACTGAAAAAAAAGCAAATAAAAGTTCCTAAGCCTAGAAAGGTTGAAATGGGATTGGTAACTGTACAATACTACTGGAACATAAACTGATACAATCCATTTGGACAAAAATAGCAACATAAAATGAACAATAAAAAAGGTCCATACCCTATAATCCAGCAATCTCACTCCTGGGAATTTATTCTAGAGAAGTTATTTGACATAAAAAACTATATATACACAAGTGTTCATTGCATCCTTGTCTCTAACAGCAAAGAATACAACAAGAACAAAAAAATGGAAACAAGAAAATGACTTTGTAAATTACAGTATATGCTGAAGGTAAATTACTATTCAGCTGTAAAAAAATAATTCTGAAGAATGGGTAGTATTACAGAAAAATATTATGGAATTAAATGAAAAGCAGAATACAAAAGGATTAATACACATGACCATCATCTTTGCAGATCGCTATGTCTCCATGTAAGCAAGAGCTGAAAGGTGATATTCAGAAATGAAAACAGCATTGTGCAATGGTTATGATTTGAAGTATTTATACTATGATTTCTTTTTTCAGGAAAATTTTTAATGTTGTACTGTTTTTTCTATTACATATATATTTTTAAATTCTTTCTGAAATAAATTTAGAATTYTGAGTTTTTCTCTAATTCTGACTTAGAAAATAATAGAAAGTCTGGCTTTCCCCATCTTGAATTAATAGTACTCTACTTTAAAAAAGAAAACAACATAAGAACATAAATGTTCAAGTCTAAAGATGGAGATCAAGAAGATGGGTGGGGCTGGAAGCATCCAAGCTATTGTTGCAGTCTGAAGGACTGATGATGAAATCAGGAACCCTGAGAAAAAGAAAAGGGAGAAGGATCATCAGGCCCTCCTTAGGATGTAATGTGTTCCCAAGGTCACTTAAGAGAGTTCAGAGATAGAAAAAGGTCAGCACCACAGTTACCTGCCTTACCAGGCTACAGCCTGGCATCATTTCTCTTCCACTCATTTCACAGGTATTTTCTGAGGCCCTGACTTGCTGAGGGAGCTCAAATACCTGATATGTCACAAGGCCATGCTCTCCTTCAGAGAAGATGTCACAGAAGATACCTCTCAGGGCTCATGTCCAAGGTCATGTCTCATGTGTCTGGTAAAGAGGATGGGTCATCTAATGCCTAATATCCCAGCTGCTATTCACTTTTGCAGATATACAACTGAACTTTGTTCTCTCAGAGCTATCAGACTTAGGGAAACTGACCCATACTGAACAAAACACCATATGAGCCATGTTTTAAGTCACACTGTTCAGCCAGGTGGCTTATAGAACAGGATGTAGCTCTTCTATAGCCAAGGAACTTGGCAAACTACTTAGAAACAGTGTCCTAGCATCCAGAACCCTACCTCTACCCTTTGCACAGTCTTGATCCTTGCTCTAGGCCCCACTTATAATATACCTGAAGGTTAATTTCCATTCCCACTGTTCTGCCCAGCTTACCTTCATTGACAGATCATCTTCTCAAAGGTAGTTTCTGGGTAGCTCAATTCATATCCTTGAATACTTATAGGCCAGTTTCCATGTCAAATAGAAGATGATCTCCTTTTAGATCTTACCCTCCTACTCCCAAGACTCCTCTTTCTGCTGGTCACAGGCAGTATATGATTAAGTTTGAAGGAGTGATGAATACCATAATGCTGTGAGGTCAGAGAGGGAGTGGTCATTGAGGTAAAAACAGACCCAGGCTCTGTATCTTACCAGCTGTATACTCTCCAGCAAGTATCTCAGTTCTGTGCATTTTTTTCATGCATAAAATGAGGCTGGTAGAGCTGAATTCTCAGCCAGATGCATTTGTGAACTGCAAGGTGCTTTGAAAATGTTGGGTCTATTATTGTGGACTAGAGTGGGGAAGAAGTAGAATGTAGGATGGCCCTTAAAGATTGAGGAAGATTCAGGCTATGCAGTCAGGAAGAGAAAGGACATCCCAGGCATGAGTAAAGGCAAAATGGAGACAGAAGTAAAGTATGCCTGCAATAGAAAGCTTGTTGAGGTGAGAATCAGAGGTAAGGTTGGAAAGGTAGGTAGGCTGTATTCTATTGCTATTAGGGAATCACTGAAATTTTTGATCATATAAAAGAATGACAGTTATGTTTTGGGAGTACTAAGCTGATAGAAGATGTGAAGGATAGAGTTTGGCTGAGGGATAGAATGCAGGTAATGTGATCACAGAGTGGTTTGAAGACTCCAAATAAGAAGATGAGGAGCTGGGCTGGGGTTGTGGCTCAGCAATAAAGCACTTGCCTACCATGTGGGAGGCACTGGGTTCGATCCTCAGCACCACATAAAAATAAATAAAATAAAGGTATTTATTGTAGTTGGATGGTATTGTGTCCAACTACAATTAAAAAATAAAAAAGAAGGATGAGGAGCTGAATGAAGACAGTGACTCTAGGGCTGAAGGAGGAAGTACATTTGAGAGATATAGAATTAAAAGGATGGTAATAGTGTATAAGAGCAAATAAGGGCTTGGGAACAATTTTTCAGGCCTGATCTCAATGGACAATGATGTCTCTCACCAAGATAAAGAAATAAAGAAGCAGAGGTGGGCTTGTGGCTCAGCAGTAGAGTGCTCACCTAGCACTTGCGAAGTGCTGGGTTCGATCCTCAGCAATGGAATATTATTCAACAATAAAAGAGAATAAAATTATGGCATTTGCAGGTAAATGGGTGGAGTTAGAGAAGATAATGCTAAGTGAAGTTAGCCAATCCCAAAAAAACAAATGCCAAATGTTTTCTTTGCTATAAGGAGGGTGATTCATAGTAGGATAGGGAGGGGGAGCAYGGGAGAAATAGATGAACTCTAGATAGGGCAGAGGGATTGGAGGGGAAGGGAGGAGGCATGGGATTATTAATGATGGTGGAATGTGATGATTATTATTATTCAAAGTACAGGTAWGAAGATACAAATTGGTGTGAATGTACTATGTATACAACCAGAGATATGAAAAATTGTGCTGTATATGTGTAATAAGAATTGTAGGGCTGGGGATGTGGCTCAAGCAGTAGTGCGCTGGCCTGGCATGCGCTGGGTGCTGGGTTCGATCCTCAGCACCATATACAAATAAAATAATAATGTTGTGTCCACCGAAAACTAAAAAATAATAATAAAAAAGAATGTAATGTATCCCACTATCATATATAAATAAAAAAATTTAAACCACATAAAAATAAATAAAATGAAGGCATTGTGTCTAACTACAACTAAAAAAATATTAAAGAAAGAAAGAAAGAAGCACTAGTGAGCAAGGAAGAGTGAGTTCCTTGGATATGTTTATCTGTAGAATCCAAGGGATGCTAACCAGTAATTAAGTGAATGTATGGGTGTAGAGCACAGCAACAGAAATGTGAATTGAAGTCACATGAGGTGACCAAGTACTGTGAAAAGGTAAGTTGGAAAAGGACAGAAGGCTGAGGAATCTCGGCATTTAAATGGTGGACAATTAAACTCAGCATGGTGGTGCATCATGCCTGTAACACCAGTGATTCAGGAAGCTGAGGCAGAAGCATTGCAAATTTGAAGCTACCTCAGCAATTTACCAAGGCCCTAAGCAACTTAGTGTAACCCTGTTTCAAAAAAAGAAAAAAAGAAAAAGAGGGTCTGGAGTTGTAGGTCAGTGGTAGAGCGCTTGACCAGCACTGTGTGAGGCGCTGGGTTCGATCCTCAGCACTACATAAAAAAATAAACGAAGGTTAAATAAAATAAATATATATATATATATATATTTATATATATATATAAATATATATATATATTTAATAATTATATAAGAGCTATGTACTAAATTGTGTGGCAGTACACGTGAGCAAGTGAGCAGCTTTGATAACTGGTAGAAGTTTCACAAAGGAAATGCTTGCATAGGATGCAGGTTGAACGGGGGTTATCTAATTCAGAAGAGGAAGGAGTCGGGGGCATCCCAACCAGGTTCCAGAAAAAATTCACATGTGGCGTTTAGAAAAAGCATTTACAATGTCTGGATCCCCAAAGCATAGTGGTTGTTTAAACTTGAGGTGACTTCGGTGACGACAGCAGAAGGGCAAAGTAAGTGGGGCAAGCGGCCACTCAGAAGGATGGCGGGCAAGTCCCTGAGGCGGTGGAGGCTCTGCAGAAGCAACTCCCAAGAGCTGCGAACAGGTGAGCACACTGAAGGCTAGACGGCGCCTCGGGCTCCACACTGCGGCCGAGGAAGCCACCAACCACCAGGTCTGAGCAGAACGTTAAGAGCCGGGGAGGGGCTCAAGGCTGGGGCTTTTGGCCAGGCACCGAGAGATAAAGAGGTCCTCCCTGTCAGCCTAGGCGGTACCCGGGCCTGGGCGCCAGGAAATGGCCTGGCTCACCTTGGTCGCAGCGGTAAAGCACCCCAAGCCCTAGATTCCTCTACAGTTTTCAGCATCCGAGCCAGATGCAACGGGCGGCACCAAGAAGAGTTCCCCGCTCAGAACACCAGCACTTCACTGTGAACAGAACTAGCCGCAGAAAGAGGATGCTACCGGCGTGAGTCAGAAACCCGCGAGACCAATGAGGTCCCGCCCGAGGCCCGCCTCCTTGCCGGAAGTGAGGCAATTGGTCCCGCCCCCTACTTTCGATACCTCGCGAGACTTCGCTGAGGCCTTCCTTTTTCGTCTTAGCCGCCGACATGGTAGGTGTTTCTTTTTTGGCCTCCGCTTTCCTGCGGCCAGACACGCGGAGCTCTGCTCACTTTGCCTCCCAGCCACATAACCCGGTTTTCCAGATTGCGCGTGGCAGGCCKTAGGGCAGTATGGCTGTCGCGGACCCGGGGCGGGGATCCTGGTGCAGCGTGCTAGGCCCAGGGTTCGGATCTTTGAGACACGAGGGCCGGAGCGCCCTGGCGCCGCCCTGATGAAACCGTCGGGCCAGCCAGTAACCTCATCCTTGCCGAATGCGCCAGAACTCAGGCCCTTGTTCCCAGTTCTGCAGGCTTGTCTCAAGCTGGCAAGCATTATTCCCAACCCTTCTTATTTAGGCTTGATCAATAAGCTCCTTTTCCCACGCAGCCATCCAGACTGAGGAAGACCCGGAAACTTCGGGGACACGTGAGCCATGGCCACGGCCGCATCGGTAAGTTTCTCCTGCTCGGCTTAGAAACTAACGTAGCGTAGAAGTAAGACTTTTGCGGTTGAGTAGGGATTGAATTGAACAGATGTTCACTTTTTTTCTCCCCCTATTTAAGGATCTTCTGGTATTCCAGTTTTAGAGAATGTTTGTAGATAGGAAACAGCGTGAGCGGCGCAGAAGTGGGGAAGTTCTCCGCTTGGCTAAACGGGATTGAGGGGTTGGGAAAGGTTATGTGAATCCTGTAGCTTTRTATTCCTGCAGGCAAGCACCGGAAGCACCCAGGAGGCCGGGGTAATGCTGGTGGCATGCATCACCACAGGATTAACTTCGACAAATAGTGAGTGTTTCTTGATATTRTTTTTACACAGTATATAAAGCCAGCCTAGAACATCGGTGGAAGTTGGCCTCTTAAAAACCTTGTCTATTACTGGCTTTGCCGAGTTAACTTTTGATGTTGTGAACTGAGAAACCATCATCGAGGCTAGAGTCACGCTTGGGTATTGGCTGTTGCCTTAGTGTGCTAGAGTCCTCGAAAAATAACCGCTGACCTTATTCACTGGCTGTGGGCTTCATGGCACAGCTAGTCACCAGGTTAGTGACATTAGATTCACTTGTATCCATGGGTTAGGGGATGATGTATTTGACTGTATCTCTAGGGGACCTCTATTAGAAAAGTGTAGATTTTTCTACAGAATACTATCAAATGTAGCTTTTTAATGAAGATGGTTTGGTCATTTCTTTCCCAGTCACCCAGGTTACTTTGGGAAAGTTGGTATGAGGCATTACCACTTAAAGAGGAACCAGAGTTTCTGCCCAACTGTCAACCTTGATAAATTGTGGACATTGGTTAGTGAACAGACACGAGTAAATGCTGCCAAAAATAAGACGGGAGCTGCTCCCATAATTGATGTAGTCCGATCGGTGAGTAAATTAGATATTAACTATAAAGTCCCTTTGTCCTTACAAAATTCTGAGTTATGATACACTTAAATGTCTCCTATACCTCTCTGATTACCTGCTAGAAAATACAACCTTTTGATAGAATTTGTCATGACCAGAATGGAATTATTCCCCACTCTTCTGTCTTGGGTGCATTTTTGCTCTCAGAAGTAAACATTCAGAGAATGCATATCTATCACATGCCTTGATTGTATTTCTGGGAAAACCTTTGGAGAGTAATGGTTCCTCTCAAATTAATTTCGATTAATTTTTGCTTGAATGTCTTCCTAATTTGTACTGCCATTGCCCTGCTTCTCATGGTCTGATATCTTTGGGGTTTCAGAACCTTCTGTTAGTCTTTAACTTCCATGAACATGGAAGTAATCTTTAAGGAGGCCCAAACCCTAGGGAGATGTTCAGGTAACTTTAAATTCTTGTTTCCAACCTATTTAATGCTTTTTGAGCAATTTTGGTAGTCAGGACTTTGAGCATTGCTGGGAAAATATCTTTCCTTTTTACTTAATAGGGATAATCAAACATAACGTGGAGATCTGTGCTTTGCCGAGACTAGAGTCACATCCCGACACAGAACTTGTCCTGGTGTGCTACAGTTCTCGGAKAGAATTTGCTGGTCTTGATTCACTGGGGGGGACAATTGATGTCCCCATTAGTGCCCAGATCAGAAACATAGTCTACCTGGGACTTAAAGGTTAATGTTGGCTTCTCTCCATGTGCCCCAAGAAATTGGTACATGGCATGATGTGTTATAAATCTTTTTCTCTTCTAGGGTTACTACAAAGTTTTGGGGAAGGGAAAGCTCCCAAAGCTGCCTGTCATCGTGAAGGCCAAATTCTTCAGCAGAAGAGCTGAGGAGAAGATTAAGGGTGTTGGGGGTGCCTGTGTTCTGGTGGCTTAAAGCCACCAAGAGCTCTGGAGGTTCATTAAATGCTATCAAACACTTTTCCTTTGTGGTCTAAGTAGGTTTTTTGGCACCTCTACTTAAAACAAATCTCTACATACAACAACCTGTATGTCATATGTTAGGAACCTACTTTATAGGTCTTAGACACATGGAGGGGAATAGGCTTTCTAAAGTGAGAACTGTTGATGATTGAAATATGTTAAAAAGCCCACTGGTATTGTACAGTGAATTTTACAGCAAGTGCGAATGTATCCTTCACTTTTGTATGGGGCATGATCTTAACAAGACTTTGATCAGTCACACTAAACAGTGACAGTGTTAAGATGAGGGAGCACTTTGACTTACTTCCTGAGTATAAGATCACCCCTACACCAATCTGGCTCTCTCATCTTGGACCAAACCATTCTAGTTACAACCAGAATATTCTGAATCAGAATCTTTAATCTGGATATATCGAAATGCATTGGATTCAGCAAAGCGACTGTAAAGGGTCTTTGTGTTCAAAAAAATAATCATGAAATTGTTAATTTTTTTAGTCTGAAGTATGGAGAAGACTGAAAAATCCTGAGGGCCAGAAACCAGATATGTTTTTTAGGGCTGGTATTTTGCTGTTGTAAAACCTATGACCAATATTTGTTTGCATCCTCATGGGTGTCAGGATAAATTATGTTAACAGCTTTATGGCTTTTCCTGAAATTTTGAACCCAGAATGAAGCTTGCATCTAGGATCCTGAGCAAAGAAGTGTAAGATGTTATTCATAATACTGTATAATGTTTTTGTTAGTGGAAGTGACTCTCTTAGCCATATGGAATACCATGATTTTCTGTGAGACGGTGTTATAGAGAATATTGGAGATCAAATACAAAGAACAGGAGAGAAACTTGATTGGATAGACTTGGATAAGAATAGGAGACAATTGTAAGAGGTCAGGAGTGTTTTTCAGTGGACACTCTTGAAACTGGATTGTCTGGCTTTGCATCTTGATATTCTGATGGGGAAAGGTGGAAATACAGGCTCTGCATTATGGTCTTCTTGAGGGCTTCTAACATGGAACCTGAGACCAAGGAACAGCACCGTTAGAATTAGGAAAATGATTTCTACCCAAGAAYTGCGTGACTTTTTTGAAGCTCAATCTAATTCCTCATCTTTAAATTTCAGTTAAAATTGCCTCCTGTGCACTTTGTATAAATAAAATGGGAAGCCTACATTTACCTTTTGTATTTGTTAGCTTAAGTGTAAACTACTAAGGGGGCAGATGAAGGAATTAGTTTCTGTGCATGTTGTTTTGTCACATGGGAAAATAAATGGTCCAAGCAGAGGGAATAGCAAGATGATAARTTATGAAACTAATTTGGAAAGGGCAGATGGGATGTGCATGGTGCTATATGAGCCAGGAGAAGAAAGGACTGGCCAGGATGTAGTTCAGGGCCTGAGGAAACTTAAAGGCAGCAACAAAATGGGGAGGAGGGTGTATAGGTAAATTTTCAGAAGACRGTAGGATTTGGTTACTAAATTGGATGTTGATCAGGCGTGAAAGGGTGGGGTATTTGGAGGAAGGTGAATACTATACCCTTAGTGGGTAGTCTCAGGATTCATTGCTGACATCCAGGCTTCCCTTGGAAATGCAGTCTTCTAAGAACCATATGTACTAAATTAAGAAGTCATAGTAGTAGTACTCCCCAGGCCAATCCCATCTCCTGGCTTAGAGGACAGCTGCTGAGGTACCTTGGGCAGATGCCTTTTTTTTTTTTTTTTTTTTTTGGTGGTGGTGGTGCTGCTACTGGAGATTGAACCCAGGGCCTTGTGCAACTGAACTGAGCTACATCCCCAACCCTTTTGGCATTAATCTTAGATGGCTAGGTGACAAAAGCCAAACATCCTATTCTCTAAATGTGACAACTTGAATTCCTTTATGGATCTAGACAATGTTTTGATGGATATTTCAGTTTAAAGGGAAAGGTTCTACTGCTTAGAAACTCACTTAAAGTAAAGGAACACAAAATTGGTGAGAACAGGGGCTGGGGTTGTAGCTCAGTTGGTAGAGCCTTTGCCTTGCATGCGTGAGGTACTAGGAGTTCGATCCTCAGCACCACATAAAAACAAATGAAGTAAAGGTATTTTGTCTGCCTGCAACTAAAAATTTTTTTTAAAAAAGGGTGGGGTTGGGGTTGTGGCTCAGCGGTAGAGCACTCACCTCTCACATGTGAGACCCTGGGTTCCATCCTCAGCAGCACATAAAAYATATTGTGCCCATGTTTAACTAAAAAAATTTTTTTWAAAAATTGTGGGGACAGTTGGTTCTGTGTCCTACTTAGGACCAGACTAAGAAGTAGTTTGAAGTCCCAATACACCCAAATTGTAGTGCTTTCTTGAGCCTACAACCACTGGTATTTTTTTCATGAGTCTGCCCAAGTACTGACTGGCCTATCCCATGGGCATAAAGGTTCACTAGCAGTATATTCAGGGCTGACTAGTACTGGGGTTGGAAAGGTCCTCCCAGATGTGGGAAGCACAGCTTTATCAGTGATAATCTCTGACTCGATGGCTTGAAACTTGTTCACATCCCTCTTAAAATATGAAAAGGGTATGACTAGGATGGTAAGTTGACAATCATTTATAAACTTGGATTACAAAGGATGTAATTTCTAGCCCAATACGTATTTCTTGGRATAGATTTTCATCCAAATCCCAATTGCAGTTGTAATTTAGTACTTAATAGAAATGCCACACAATTTGCAAATGCAGTTAATCAAAATCGTCAGATGTATGCTTTCAGTTCAAATAAATATTCCTGTTAAAACCTATGATCAGACAGCCTCTAGGACTGAAACAAGTTGAAAGCAGTTACATTGAAGGCAAAATGAGCGGCATCTGAACTAAAAGGCCTCCAGTGGTTGGAGCCATTTGCTGCTGTTTTCTCCCACCCGTACCGCCAGACAGTAATGCCCTYGCGCTACTGCCCCAGAGCTCACAAGCGGTTCCCTTCGGCCCCTGCCCGAACCACTTCCTGTGTGAAAATCTAATTCTGGGGACGGTGTGGGACCGGAAACACAGCTAGTCACTTCCGATAGAGGGTGGAGCCAGCCTGCTTTGCTGGAACACTGGTACTTTCCTGGGCGAGGCGGGAAGATTTAACTCCTATTGGAGAGTTCCCTTCAGGGCACTTACGAACAGAAGGTGTGGTCTTTTTTGTGCAGTTTTCAAAAAGGGACTTTGCAAACCCCAAGAGTGTTTCAGTTGCCTTAAAAGAKGATTGTTACATCTTTTAAGCTAAAAAAGAAAATGCTCGTCTGGAAATGTTCTATAAGAACATAAAGGGAATTTCCTTTACTGAGCTTTGGAAAGCAAGGGAGGAAGATGGTGTTTTGGTAGTCGCTTTTAAACCAAATGCATATTTCATGTTAAAAATGACATAAATGAACAAAAAATAATTTAGAAAGCTTACAGAAATTAATGAAAAGTAATGTTTTTCTCTAGTTTTCAGGGCGTCTTACGATCTCCAAAGGCAAATGAATTTAAGAATTTTTAGAATGCATATCACTACATCTGGTTGTAGAAACTATAATTTTGTGTACCACTCCGAGGTAAAAATATAGGTTAAGTTGTATATTTCATTGCTGGCTTTATTTTATATACCAATTTTTATTGTATTTTCACTCCCACTTTAAATTGTTTTAAATACCATTTATATACCCCTGTAAGTTACTTGTTGTACAAGACAAGTAATACACATGTCATATAGAGGGTTTTTAAACAAAAATTTAACTGAGGGACCTGGGGGTGTAACTTAGTGGTAGAGTGCCTAGTACTATGAGGTCCTAGGTTCAATCCCCAGTACCACCAAAGGGCGGGCGGGGGGTTGGGGGGGGTGCTGTGAATGTAATTAGAGAGCATTCCCCAAAATAAGCCTAATTCCAGACTATCCAGTGTGAATCACAACACTCCTTCAGAACACTTTTTGGTTTTTGTCAATCATATGGGGGAAGCTACCAGRGATGCTAGATGTTCTGCAATATGGGGGTTGGTCCTTCACAACAAACATACAACTTAGAATTTAAATTCCATTTACAGGTTAGGAAGGTCTCCCCAGGGATAGGGATGTGGCTCAAGTAGTAGCGCGCTCGCCTGGCATGCATGAGGCACTGGGCTTGATCCTCAGCACCACAAAGAAATAAAGATATTGTGTCCACCTAAAAGCTAAAAAATAAATATTAAAAAAAAAAGGTCTCCCCACCCAGAGATTTTATATACTTTCCAGTTTTCTAGGATTCCAGGGGAATCTTGTACATTACAAAGTGCAGGCATGGAGATTGAAGCAAGAGGATTATAAATTTGAGGCCAGCCTCAGCAACTTAGCAAGGCCCTAAGCAATTTAACAAGATGCTATCTTTTGAAATAAAAAGTCTGGGTAGCTCAATAATAAAATCACCCCTGGGTTAAATCCTCAGTACCCACACACACAAAATATTGATTTCAGAAAACTCCCTTGAGCAAAATCAGATATGAGTTGCTAATACAGCATACTTGCCTACATAATATGCAACTCATATTCACAGTGATTCTATGTATAGGTTTAGATATGTAACTTCATTGTATCTTCCAGTACAGGTATGCCCAGGCATTTACATATTTATTTTAAAACAAATTACTTTCTTCTTATTTCTCTTCTTATAGTTAAAAAATGTTTAAGTTGTGTTGTCTATGGATTTCATTTCAGGACAATGAAGAGGTGAGTTACAGTATTTGCTATTTGGGAGAAAAAAATTGRATCTATAGGGTTGAGTCCTTGGTTTAGGGGTCTAGCGATTGTATGAAAGCAGAACTTGGAAAGAGGACTTGAACACTTTTTGTGAACTTCAAACTAGACCAACTGTATTCAAACCCTCCCTGTAAAGCTGTGCCTTGGCCACAGTGATCACTCTAGCAAGCCACTGTATGCCAATGTCCGTTTTCTAAGTTAGGATAAGAGCTTCAGCCACAGGAGGAAGGAGACATGCCCTTCTGGCATTCACCCAGGGTTGATAGACTATTTTTAAGATGTTTCAAACTGTACAAAAAACAATAATAATTTGCACCTCTGTCTTGTCATCTGATCACATGTCTGAAGGTACTTTAGGGTCACATAAAAAAGGGGTTGGAGGTGGGCATGCTGGCACAAGTCTGTAATCCCTGTGGTTCTGAAGGCTGAGGCAGGAAGATCAAGAATTCAAAGCCAGCCTCAGCAAAAGCATGGCACTTAGCACTCAGTGAGACCCTGTCTCTAAATAAAATACAAAATAGGGCTGGGGATGTGGCTCACTCTGGTTGAATCCTGTGAGTTCATTCCTCAGTACCAAAAAAAAAAAAAAAAAAAAGAAAGAAAGAAAGGACAGGGTTAGGCAGAAAGAGCAAGAACACCTTTGGGGAACCAGATATTTATTTTTATTAAGGAATCATCCTCTGTCATGAAGCCCAAGCTGAGTTAACAGTGATGAGTACTGGGGTTTGCTACATACTACTATGAATTTTCTAGTTAGTCCCTCTTTTTTTTTTTTTTTTTTGTGCTGGGGATTGAACCCAGGGCCTTGTGCATTCGAGGCAAGCACTCTGCCAACTGAGCTCTTCCCCCAGCCCCTAGTTAATCCCTCTTATTTCTCATCCTCAACTGAAAACCCAGATTTATGAGGCCTCAATCCCTCCCTTTCTATTCTTGGCAAATGCCAAGGCCAATTTTGTAGGAAGCTTTTTCCAGAGAAGGTGATTTTGTCTCCTCAGAGGACAAACACTTAACTTGTCTTTATGATTCCCATTCCAGGGACAGGCTGGGACCTGTGTAGGTGTCAGTGGAGATGAGGGAAGAAAACTCCTGTTTAAATAGGCTATGGTGGAAGGTTACAAAACCTTCACAGTTCAATGCTACCAGACCCAAACCCAGAATCAGTGAAGAGAGTTCCATAAATGCCTCATCTTGGGCATTTTCAAGGTCTCTACTTTCTATTTTCAAGGTCTTGGTGGGTAGAAAGCCTAAGTCACCATTTTCCCCCACCCTGCTTCTTTCCTTCCTCTTCATGGAATATACTAGGACTTTCTGGATGCAAAAGAGGGTTCTGAAGGAAAAACTATTCACAGAATGACATGGAAGCATCACAGGCAATGGGTCAAGGGTATGAGCCACCCCAGGGTTGGCAATGGTTGTCAGGATACCCAATGGTGTCTTTATGGGCTTCAGAATGAATACCAAAATGTTAAGATTCACCTAATGATAGAGGCAGAGGGCAAGAAGTATTATTTCCATCACTGGAAATACTCTATTTGAGTCTGAAAAGTAGGCTACTGGAGAGGGAAGCCGAAGGAGAACAATGTAAGACCTGTCATACAACCAGGCCAAAAGAACTCTATATCAGGGGTGGTCAGTGACCCATAATAAAACTAACCCCTTATCAAGTGCTCAGCTTCCTGCATGATGGTATTTCATCCCTGATTGACCTGTCTCAGCCCATTCCCAGAAGAGAGAACTCCAGATAATGAAGCCAAGGAACACATGGGCTCTTGGGCCCAAATGACTGTACATTGTTTATTGAGAACACCTGTAGATGGTGGGAAGGAGGGATGCCCTGTACCGCATCATGGCCACCATTGACTGGGAGCCAGGCCCAGAGAGCACAGGCAGAGCTGGGGGCTGGGCTTCCCACGACTCACTGACCATCTCTGAGGGGAGGAGGAACAAGAGAGAACCAGGCTCAAGAGTCTGATGCCATGTTGCAAATGGAAAATGAATGGCCTCTGCCTTTCAAAAACAGAGGCTTAGGGGAGGGGGACTACTAGAAAAAAATATAAAACTCTAAGATTACAAAAAAAAAAAAAAAAAAGTCCTCCTGTACATCATAACAAGATAGCACTCGCTCTCCAGAGCCCAAGACTGGCAGCAGGGGCCCCAGGCAGGCAGGCAGGCAGGCCAACAGCCTCCAGGGAAGATCAGTGGTTTGGCTGAGACAGTCAGCTGCACATAATTGGCCAGTCACCAGCACCCAGCAAAACTCCATCCATGCTCAGACAGGGCAGGAAAGCACCCGGCCACTTGGGAATATACAAATATTTATCAGATTCTCTTTGCTTGTTAYAAAAACAGTTAAAATAAAGCTTACAGCAGATTATTTACAAACAGTATCCTGGGATATGGTGAAGGCACAGGTGGGCTGGCTTGGAGGTGGGTCTGTGGGAGCAGAGCAGACGCAGTAGCCCAGAAAGTCCCAGGCTGGGCCCTCTCCCTAGGCTCCAGGTTCTGCAAGGCACTGGACTCTGCTACTGGAAAAGGGGTTTAATTCTTTTTATGAAGAAACTTCATTTTGTTGCCTGTGGGCCAGAGAGGGCAATAGTAAGAATATTAAATGATATTTCTTCCAACCTCATTCCCACTCCTTGCAACCCTACCCTTACCAGTAGGAAACAATTAGAAAAACTACAGTACAGCTATGATAGCTCTCATCAGTGTAGTGAAAACATTCCAAAATAAGGGCACCAAGTATTAATCACTGTGTGTCTTTGGGAAAGCCACTTCACCTGCCTGGCCTCAATTTCCCTTTAAACTGAGAGATGCTATTATTCTATGATCTAGCTGGCTGAGCTTCTTGATGTGGTGGAGGTTTGCTGGAAGGGCAAAGCTCATTGGTCCTAACAATCCTCATATTCACACAGGAAGTCAAGCATCCTAAAAGACTTAGGTGATAATCCTTGGTTTCTCTTTGTTCTAAAGTTTGGTAAGTCTTGGGCTAAATGCCCTTGGAGTAATGGCTGGGAACCTTCTCTTCATTCCCCAAGGTATTTCTTCCTGCTCTCTATGGCACTACATAAATACCTGTTGTCACTAATTTAGAGTGTTTGGGGATGCAGATGCTCTCCCTCCTTGATGAATATCTATGTCATTTATCTACTTACCCAAACCTCGGAGAAACTTATTCATTCCACTTTGCTCAGTATCAGGGAGCTCCTCTAAGTACTGTTCTACTCGCTGCTCAAAGAGACCTGGTTAAGAGAAGAAATAGGAACATGGAAAAGAACAGTCACTGGAAGTCTGTTTGATGAACCATGGGTCAGATATGCCAAAAGAGAAGTAAAGCATCTGGGATTATAATTCATAAGAACATTTTATCAGAATTCAGACTGGCTCATCTAAAGTATTATAAGTAGCATCTCATAGATGTTCTCTACTGACAGCAAGAAGACCCTCCATAGCCTGCCTGGGGTGCACATTATAGTGAAGATCCTGTTCTACATTTCAGAGCAGCCCAGAGTGGAAATCTCTAGCTTCTTACAACTCTACCATGTTGTTCCCAACAGTTTTGTTAAACTAAATAGGTAGTATCAGTGGACAGAAGAAATAATATCCCTTGAGGTTAGATATGAAGTCTTGAGGTTAAAAAAAAAAATGCTAGAGAGAGAGATGCTAAAATAACTAGAGACAGATAACCATCTAGCCTTGAATGGGGACTGCCAACAACCTAAGACAGCTAGTCTAATTATCTCTAAAGAAATTCCTAACCCCTGGGTCTTCAGAAGTTTCCAAATTTCTTAACCTGGTTCTTTTCTCTGAACAAGATAGCTATCTGAGCAATCAGTGTCCGGATGCTCCTAGGTGGAGCATTTGTAATCTCACTATCTAGCCACATGGCTCCCATCTGTGCACAGCCTTGTGAAAAGCATTTACTGGAACAGGGAAAGAAGAGAACCCCTTGAAAATTTCTATCAGAAGAAAAAAAGKCCGTCCCTAGCTGACATCCAAGAGCTTCCATCACAGTAGCTAGTTATTCAGCTTTGCTGGCAAAAATAGTTTAGAGAAGAAGGCCCATAACCCCCATCCCAAGCTCCTCTGGCCTTACCCTTTGCCCGACATTTCCTTAGCTCCCTGTCTTGGATGAAGCCAGCAAACATTTGAGACTCCATAAAAACTTCGAGAAACCGGCGGATGCTTTTGGAGGCTACAGACTTGCGGAAGGCCTCACGCTGAAAGGCCCTCTCCCCTTTCTCACTCTGGGTCAGAAAGAGGGAGTAGTGCCCAATAGTTTCCACAAAGAACCGGATAAACACCTCTGACACAAGCCCATTGAGGGTATTACATTCTGGAAGGAAAAAAACAAATCTTGAGGTTCAGGCTGAGAGCTATAGGGCCTCCCAATCTCTGGTTGGTGTAGTCTCCCTCTCCCCAACAAATCTTCCAGCCAGCACCACTTATCTGTTCTTTTTTTTTAAATTTATTTATTTTTCTATCTATTTATTTACTTATTTTATGTGGTTCTGAGGATCAAGCCCAGTGCCTCACACATGCTAGGCAAGCACTCTACCACTGAGCCACAACCCCAGCCCCCACTTATCTGTTCTTGAAACTCTCTAGTGCTCACAGGCTGTGAACTACCCCTGAGCTCTTTGAGGTCATAAATTGTACTTCAGCAAATGCTTGCAAATGAATGAAAGTAGAAATCAGAGATTACAGCATCACTTTCCCCACATCCCTCACTTTAAGTGATTTTCCTGGCTTCCCATGAAGAGGAAGATCCTTCCATCTCCTGCAGTGGCTTATGGCAAGCTGAAGAGGAGGACCAATTAGTTTCCTATCAGCCAAAAGAGACTCTGTTGTTGCCATGTCTTTGGATTTTCCTTCCAAAACCTCCTGGAGTAGAAAAGGTACTAGAGTGAGACCAAGGTCCTACACTTGGAGCCTTATTATCCAGAAAGGTCTGGTATAGACCAGAGCCAGATCTGCCAGGGAAGCCTTCTCACCATCATCGGAGTCACTGTCTGAGTCCTGGGAGATGAGTTCATTCTTCCGCTCTAAAGCCTGCTCCAGAGCTGCTTGTAACTTCCTAGGTAACAACGTGTCTTCATCATCCATCTGCAGTAGAAGGAAGACACAGAGATAATAATCACAGCTGAGATTGATGAATATTTACTGTATGTTAAGTTTGTACAAAAACTTAAATATAAAATTCCATTTAATTCTCCCAATAACTCCAATACTATATTATCAGCCTCATTTTATGATGAGAAACTAAAGCACAGAAATGTTAGAAACATGCCCAGGTTACAAAGATTAAAAAATATCAGAAAAAGGGCCAGGAATGTGGCTCAGTGGTGAAGTGCTTGCCTAGCATGTGAAAGGTCCTGGGTTAAATCCCCAGTACTAAAAAAAAAAAAAAAAAAGACAAGCAACTTAATTGCCAGGTGCAGTGGTGCACACCTATAATCCCWGTGCCTCAGGAGCCTGAAGCAGGAGAATCACAAGTTCAAAACTAGCCTTAGCAACTTAGACTCTAAGCAATTTAGTGAGACCCTGTCTCCAAAAAGAAAGAAAAAAGGCTGGGGATGTGGCTCAGTGCTTAAGCACCTAAGCACCCATGGGCTCAATCCCTAAAAGAAAAAAAATGACAGAGCTCATCATGGCCAAAATCAATGTTTCTCCATCTCTTCAGGTGGAAAGTACAGTGAGCTCAAGAAAGGGCGACTGGCCCAACCTGCGTCTTTATATGAGGCTGGGCTGCCATTCCTGTCTACATTCTGGTTCAGTGTCCATATATTGATATTTTACACCTGGGAATCCTCAGCTCTATCAGTGGAATGTAATAATAGACTGTCCAATCCCAGAGGAGACACACTGAGGTATGTTCCTTATAGAAAGCCAGTAGGATTACCATGAATAATAAAGGCTTTCTACAGTTATCAACAATGATTGCAAACTTGAAATTACAAAGCACACTCTAGTGATCTGTGTAATCCCCAGCAACATTTTAAGGCAGGTATTATCACCATCTCTGCTTTGCAGATGAGAGCACTGGCTCAGAGAAGTTCAGAGGCCTGTCCAAGACCATGTGGCTCAAAGGTGGCAGAGCCCAGAGGTCAAGTCTTCAGACTCCCAGGCCCTGTTGTTCACACTTCCACACTGCCTTCCAGAAGCTAATGATGCCAACCAGAAAGACTTGCTGAGGTCAAGATCAACTTCTCCGGGCCCTGTCTACTGTGAGTATAGAGCCTGGAGCTCAACAGACAGACTGTGAAGGTTGAGTTGCATGATGGTGCAGGATGCTTCGGAGCTTGAGTCTGACAAGCACCCAGCCAAGGGTAGGCACTGTCTGCACTGCATTGCTCTTACCTGTCGGATGAACCGGTCAGATCCCAGATTCACCATCAGTGCCTGAGAAAAGGAGTCATTAGTGGCAGTGGTTCAGGGAATAAGTCCTGCAATTCCCTCTGCCAAGCCTCCAGACCCCCCCCCCACCCCAAAAATTCCCAGGGTCAGATGTCAGGAATAGCTCCAGCAGGGATAAACCTCCAGGCAAGAGAGGACAAGAACTTGGATAGAGAAGCCTAGAGGCCACAAGTTCCTAGTAGTCTTTCTCCCTTCCCCCTCTGTTCTCCTAGGGCTTTGTTCCTTCCCCCCACAACCCTTCCCCCCAACTGGTTCCCTAGATAGCCCACCTCCTCCACAGGCAGCTCCTTCAGTTTGGGGAGGGAGCTGGAGAGCAGGCCAACCAGGAAGGGGGTGGGACAGCAGACGATGTCAATCATGGAGGCCGGGAGGACAGGAATGAAGGTGTGCTGCCAGGAGAAGGGGTAGAGCAAGGCCACCACCGCATGGGAACAGCTGGACAGGGTACTAATGGACAGACAGACAGAACACCTGAGCCCAGGCCCAGCACTTTAGGAAAAGAGTAATTAGAGCCTGCTGGGAGCTCAGGACACATTTTGATGTTAAACCTCCCAGTGTAACAAAAATGCTAATGGGATTCAGGGGTCTGAGTCAGCCCCTAAAAGTGGAGAAGCCGTGCCTGCCCATTGCTAAGGGCTTCAAGGACACTGGTGCTACTCTCTTTGGGGACTCCACCAAGAAATGATGATGAAGGTATGTGGCAACACTTAAACATAAAAGGACTCTCTCTTGCATACACGTACACACACACACAAAGGGCCACCTAGATGCACAAGTAGGCCTGAGCTGGTGGATTTATCAGCTCAAGACAGGGAGTACAAAGGGTAAGATAGGCAAGAGTCCATCACAAATTAATAGTCTGTAAGACCCAGAAGGTCTTGCAGAGGTCATCATACCAGTTCCACATTTCAAAGCTGGGGCCAGAGATATCAGGGTCAGTTTGATCATAAGTGGAAGAACTGGGACACAAACCTGTTTTGCTATTTCCAAGCCCAACAATACTACTGCTCTGCCCTCTTGCTTTCCACTCCTCCCGATGACAATCATCTGACTGAGGAGGGCGTGCAGAGAAATCAGAAGGTAAGGTTCGTACCATTCTTGGCAGGCTAAAGGTAACCATTCCCCTCTTTCCTCTCAGGTCCCTATAAGGTCATCCCTCTCCTGCCCTGGAGGGGGCTCCACACCCACAGGGATACTAGTCAAGCTGAATAACCAATGGGAGAAAGAAGTGGGACTGGGTGCACAGAAGTGGGACTGTGCACAAGTAGGTACACAGTCCCCACAAGTGCTGAGGACTGGTGTAGGGATCCAGTAAAGACAGGAAAAACACTGGCCTCAAGGGCCCCCCCATCACTTAGTAGGAAAGTCAAAGATCATCCCTTAAAAGCAAGATCCCCATCTCATTAAAAAAACAAAACAACAACAAGGAAAAAAAAAAACCTCTCTCTTAGGGCCCATATGACAGATGAGGACACAGGGTCCTATAGTCCGGCTCATTTTCAAACATGATACTACCTCTGCATCACTGACCCCACCTATCAGACATAAAAGCCCTGGCTACCTGAACAGCTGTGGTAGGACTCTCACTCTTTACTTTTAACTACCACCAGAGAGGGAACTTGGATCCCATTTATGAAAAAAACAAACCCCTTTTTCTAGAAGGACCTCTATGTATTCACAAATGCTTGTCAACCAGGGCCTTGCATGGCTGTCCTGCCACCCTATGGACACCTAAAATACTACTCGGTCTATAGACAGAGACACATGTCCTGGCTTGATAGCCTCTACCCTAGAGAAAGCATAAGAGTCATCTGGAAAGACCTGGAAAAGGGCAATCAGGGGCTGAGGTTGTAGCTCAGTGGTAGAGAACTCACCTAGCACATAAGAGGTTCCTCAGCACCACATAAAAATAAATAAATAAATAAATAAAGGTATTGTGTCCATCTACAACTGAAAATAAAAGGCGGGGGGGGGGGCTATCAGGCTCAGAGGACACACTGATCCCCACAATCCCCTCCAAGGAGCCAAAAGCTTGGAGGCAAAAAGTTTCATAAAACCTCTAGGGCCAATTAATGCAAAACCATCTTTCCACAAATATATTAGAACAATTCCAGAGTGATAAAGGACTTGTGGAAAACCTAAAATGTGGACATGAGCTGCATTAGCTGGCTAGACCTACCACAGTTCAGCCTCCATATTCCATCATATCACAGGGCTGCCCACCCTTCCCSGGTCTAATCAGGCAGACCAAAATGAAGAGAACAAACATCTTTTCTAAGACCCAGGACAGGCAGAACTTGAAATGTTGACTGGACCAAGAACAGTACCCTGGAGTATTTTCCTTCTGGAATGGGCTCAGAGGCAGCTGCAACTACCGGAAACAATAGCTGTATTCAACAGCCCTATGGGAGCTGAGCTATGGTGGGGGTGGCAGAGAGGAGGCTCAGCCCCAAGTGGGGGCAAAACCTTCAGGAAAGGAAACCTCAAAGTCCAGGCTCTAATAGGGCCACTACAGTCTGGCCAGGCCCAAGCACCATAGCTGGGCAGCCAGGGGCCTTGTGACTGACAATGAACAGGCCCCAGAAAGAAGAGGCATGGGTCTCCAGGCGCTGCTATACCCAGCTGATTCCAGCTGCTAGGATGGGTCCCTCCACAAAGACCTGACAGGCCATGAAACACCTAGACCATAGAACACAGAAGCACTGAGGCTGACAGATCATGTGAAGGGCACTGTCCTAGACCCTGGCTATTTCTGAGTCAGCAGCTCTAGCTTTCTTCCTTTCTTTTCCTGGGATGAGGACCTGGGTTCCTGCCCCATTCCCTCTGAAAGCAACTAGAAAACCATTTCTCCTGCTCTTCTCAGTTACCCCCTCATAAATACAGAAGGAAATATCCCAGGGATTTGGGACTTAATGGGGGACAAGCCAGGAAGAGAATTTTTCTTCACTACCTTCATCTCAGCACCTGATACATGATATGGCACATTGCAGGTAGCCTACTGTCTAAATGACTGAATGAATTCTACCACTTTAGAGAAACCAGTGCTTGTGATAAGAGTCTGACAAAAAGAACACACAGCATCGCCAACATTGTATCCTCTTCCTGCCTGCCCCCCCACACACTTTTTTTTAAAGCTCAACTACTATGAAGGTTTCTGTCTTTTTCCTTCCTTGAATACTTCATGTTCAGTGACTATCCACTTCCTCCATCCCTCCCATGGTCTCAATCAGACCTCTACCTCTAAAATCACAAATGACAACACTGTGGACCAAGACTTATGATCCACCAGTTATTTCCTTACTTCTCCTAAACCAGCTCCCCCTAGCTCCCTGGTACCTCCAGTCCCTGGACATCTTTGCTCCAGTCTGGTTGGCCAACCTTCTGCAATTACCCTCAATGCACTCACCTCATCCTTCTCCCCCAAGACTCAGCCCTGGGCCATTCCATTCCACTGCCTGTTCCAGGTACACCTCAATCAGCTCCTCACTGACTGGCTCAACACTCTTCATACAACAGCTCTTTCTAGAGTTCACCACCCTCCTCAGCCTATCTTCTACAAAGGTGCCCCTTGTTTCCCACCACAGGGAATGTGGCCATCAGTAGAAATCTCCATTTCTTACTCTTTTCCATATAAATATATCTGCAGCTGTGCATTTGTAGCTGCTGCAAAGAAGAGTCTTTCTTCTTCCWCAGGCCAAGTACTCCACTGGGTTCTGAATCATGCCATCTTTTGTGATCTCCAACGCTGCTGCTTCAACCATCCTCTCTTCCCAGGTTTGCGAACTTTTCTCTATTTGGATTTTAACACACACACACCCCACACACCAATACTACAGTATGGCACACAACCAGGACAGGTAATCTCTTGAATTAATTAGTGGGTTGCCTCCTCCCTCTTCTTCCATGCCCTGCTGGGCCCTACCTGAGCTTATCTGCTACAAAAATGACCCGGCGCTCCAGCAGCAATGAGGCAAAGATTCGGATAAGCTGGCGCACACTGAGGCAGGTAAAAAGGCACTCAAAGTCCACATGCTCCAGCCGGGAGTCCATGGGCCGCCGCAGCTCTAACACCTGTGGGAGAACAATGAAGAAGTGGGTGGAAGCAGGCTGGTTGGGGGGCACATGGCAGCTGTTGCCTTTCTCATCCTGTCCTTCCCAGGGTCCCAAAGCCCCCACCACTAAGCAATAAGGCCTGGTCTCCCCTCCCCTAAGGCTATTGCTCTGCTCACATAGTATTCAAACACCAGCCTGCAGGCAAGAGGGTTAACTGTGAAAGTGGGGAGGCTCCAGAGATGGAAATAAGGGACAAGTACAAGATTTTAGGAAAGGGAGGGTTGGCTGCTTTTACGGATAAAAAGAATGAGGATTCATCTGCACAGTCTTCCCTATCCTTTGCTCCTCTCCCCAAGCAAAGGTCTTGGCCCACATGCTAATCAGACACCACTATCGATCACTGCTCTTCAGGCCATAAGATGAGCAACATCTCCAGATCCCAGGATTCTGGTCTCTGCTATCTGTGGGAAGGCAATGCTGCTGTCCTTGTTGCCATTTCCCCTCCCTTTCCTGCTACAGCTTCCTTCCAGAGGCCATTCTGGCCTTTATCTCTATTATCCTAAGACTCATGCCAGGGACAAGGAAAACACAAGGGTTAGCTAGTCTAAAAACCTTGCCAGGAAGCAGGATTGTCTTTATCAGGGCTGGGCCAGGCCTAGCTGTCCTCCCTGCAAAGTCTGTTTGTTCCAAGGTCAGTGCCACAGCTCTGGGGGTACTTCTCTGGGGGCAGTCATGGGCATGAGGGGTAGCAAATGACCCCAGCTATGACAGTGGGAGCAGCTACTAATACTGAGGCTGTGCCAAAGCAGCTGTGGCTGGGGTCTACCTAGTTTCATTCTTTGTTCTTCAGTGTCTGTGGGCAACAGGCTTCCTGAGAACTGGGGTGAAAAATTCAAATACCCTCTTATAGCCCTATATATCAACGCTAACTCTTCTTTCTCCCCACCCTCTCTGGGTTATGGATCAAACCCAGGGCCAAAAGTATGCTAGGCAGGCATGCTACCATTGCACCAGATATCCCCAGCAAGAGATAACTCTTTTTAAGGGGCATTTACCCCACGCCACCTCATTTGTTCCTTGAGGTCTAAGCAAATGAAAGAATTCTAACTCCTAGCTCAGTATTCATTCCTCTGAGCCCTAGAAAAGCAGCAAAATGGACACAAGTGGTTGCAATAATTGGTTTACATTGTTTCTTCTGCCAGATGGTGAATTCCCTGAAGGTCCAGTGACTAGTATGATGCTAGGGACACCCTAAGTGCTCAGTCAACATGGGCGGAAGGAATGCTCTACCGTGGTTTTGCCAAAAGCCTCTATATCTTCTCCAGTCCCTGTCCCTCTATATCTTCTCCAGTCCCTGACCCCAGAAGTCCCTTCTGAGAGCCTCTTATATAGCTCAACAAGCTCTGCTCTCCAGCACCCAGCCCTACTCTCTCACTGTCCCAGAGTATCCAGGCCCCCCAGAAATCACCCAGGATGCTTACATGCCCTCTCTTCATTCATCCCTGCCCTCAAGGAGATCTTGAGATTACAATCCAGAGGAGCTGAGTGAACCTGAACAATCAATCACAGTCCTGAGGCTGGTGTTAGCATAGGGGAAAAGTTGCAGGGCATATAGGAAAGGCCCAAGGCCTGGGCTGGGGAGAGATAGTGAAGCATCTCAGAGCAAAGGCTGTTTGACAGACTCTGCAGAGAAAAGAAGGTGAGCTTCTTCTGAGCAAAAGTAAGCAGCGCTCAGGGAACACTAAGTAATCCAAGTCAGGGAGATGAGAACAAGTCCCATGAGGCAGCTAGGCCAGATCCTGAAGAACTGCCAGGTACAACATTGGGCTGTCAGGGAAGGGACAGCTGTCCTACCCCCAGACCACTCATCRAGCCTAAAGTCCCTCTAATGGGAGGGCAGAGAAAAAGAAGCCACGAGAAACACTGTCAGTGGGTATTTTTCACTGCCCAACAAACCTATGTTCTTAATTGGTCCCTCTCCCACTCTCTGCAACAACTAACAACTCCTAGAATCCAACACCCACCTCTTACTCTCAAGAGGAGGACTGTCCTTTCTATTTTGAGAAAACAGGCAACATCAGATGAGAATCTAAAATTATAAATAACAGTCCTATCTTCCTCTCCTAATAAAAGTCATTTCCCCGGAAGAGTTAGCCACTTGTGTCTTCTCAGTGTCAGTCTCATTGTCCCTGCTCTCTCYTATATCTTCCTCTAGCATCCAAACAACCCTCCAGCATCTAAACAGTTGTCTTTAACAGATTCCCCTGGCTCCTCATTTCCTGTCACCTCCTGTCCCCCATTCCCTATTATCTCTTCACAGCCAAGCACCTCAAAAAGTTGTCTATACATGCCAGGCACAGAGGCACATGCCTATAATCTCAACGGCTTCAAAGACTAGGGCAGGAAGATCACAAGTTCAAAGCCAGCCTCAGCAAAGCCCTAAGCAACTTAGCAAGACCCTGTCTCTAAATAAAATATATATAGGATTGGGGATATGGCTTAGTGGTTAAACACCCCCTGGGTTCATTCCCTAGTACAAAAAAAAAAAAAGAAAAAGAAAGGTTGTCTATACAAGCTGTTCCCACTCCCATTTCCTTCTCAACTCACTCTACCCAGGCTTATGGACCCCCACCCCTCTTCTGAAATTCACTCCTGTCAGGTATTTTGYCATGCCTCATCCTGACCCCTGATGGTATCAAACTCACCTGATCATTCCTCACTGGAGGACCTAGTCCTAGGATCTTTTCTCTTCCCTATCTACTACGCAGGCTTAAAAGTTTCCATTAACATTTATTCCCTATTTCCAATCAAACACTGGGTAATTGCTTCTAATTCTAACATATATTTCAAATCCATCTACTTTTCATTTATAGTCACTTTTCCAGTTCCACTCCTGGATCCAGGCTACTACCGTCTCTTGCCTATACTACCACAGCAGTATCCTAACTGGTCTCCCTGTGTTGTCATCTGTACAGCAGAATGGCCTTTCAAAAACCTATAGATCTTATCAAATCCTGTTTTAGATAAAATCCAAAACCCTTAACTTGGCTGTTTTACGCCCTAGCAGGAACACTAATTGGGTCTTTGCCTGCCTATCCACTCTCCACCCCATCCTTTCAACCATCCTTAGCCTTTTTTCAGTTCCTTAACTGACACATGTTCTTTCCTAGCTCCTGGCTTTRTATATGCTATTTCCACTACCTAGAATAATCTCCCATCCATGCCCTTTCTCTTTCAGTCTTCCTCTTTCCACTTCATTCAGCCACCTTCTATTCACTGCTAGATCCCGTACAAAATGTCACTTTCTTTTTTTTTTTTTTTT